TCTCTCTCTCTCTCTCTCTCTCTCTCTCTCTCTCTCACACACACACACACACACACACACACACACACACACACACAAATATTTTAAATATAGGTTCCCCATATAAACATGTAGCATTTATCTGGCTTAGTCTGGAAAAGCTTGGAGATTTATTTTTATTTTTAACTGTGTATTGGACAGTGGTCTGTATACATGTGAGTGCAGGTACTTTTAGAGTCTGGAAAAGGGCACCAAATTTCAGTTACAGATAATTGTGGGTCATACAACATGGGTGCTGGGAACTTGACTCTAATCCTCTGGAAGGTCATGAAGCACTGTTAACAGTTGAGCAATCTCTCAAGCCACAAGTTATTTTTTTTCCTCTCCTTGATAAAGGATACCTCTGACTTGTTCAACAAATTTCATTTTTAACTGGCAGAGATGTTGCAGAATGTTATTGTGCTAAATACACACCAAAGAAAGTTTATGACAAAATATAACAAAAAAATAAATTTCTGTACCTTAAAAAAAAAAACACAGCAGGATCTGTTAGCCCCAAAAGTCTGTCTGCCTTTCATTGTTACCTCCTGCATTGTACCCCCAGCTCCTGACCAAATTAACACAATCCAAATATCATATTTTCCATTTTCTTTATCACATGTATATCTGTAAAAACATTTTGTTTATTATTTTTAAATCCACACAATGGAAGCCTTCCATATGTACACTCTTTAAAATTGCTTTTGTAACTGTACTATAAATTTGCAAAATCTATTCCTTTTGCTTCCTGTATTTCATCTTTCATTACTATAATCTAGTAAATTACCTTACTCTAACAATCTAGTCTCTTGACAAAAAATTTGCCTTTTGTTTAAATCAGCTAATCTACCTGAAATTTATTTCTGTAGATGGAATGAAATACAGATTTTAAATTATTTTCTGTATGAATCATCAATATCTCTCAAATTCTTTAATGTCTCTCCTTCCCCACTGTTTGCCAAGTCATTCAAAAATCATAATGGCATGCATAAGTATGTCTGCTTCTAGGATATCCCATGATATTTCACTAGTATTCAGAAGATACTGAAGGGGAAGAGTTCCGTTGAGAAGGAAGAGGAACCTGACATACCTGTATTTGTTCATTAAGTTATTTGACACTTAAATATTCTGAAAAATTGCTTCTAAGGCATATTAGTGTGGTGATATATTGTGTACCCTAATAAACTTGCCTGAGGATCAGAGGACAGAGCCAGCCACTAGATTAGAAACCGAGCCAGGCAGTGGTGGCACACACCTTTAATACCAGCACTTGAGATCTCATGCCTTTGCTTGGGAAGCACATGCCTTTAATCCCAGGAAATAATATGGCAGGATAGAGAAAGGTACATAAAGCATGAGGATACAAGAACTCACTCTCTTTAGGCTGAGGATTTTGCAGAGGTAAGAACTAGTGGCTGGCTGTTCTGCTTCTCTGATCTTTCAGCTTTCATCCTGATATCTGGCTCTGAGTATTTTATTAAAAGACTAAGATTCAAGCAACATATTAGTGGCAATCAACAGATGACAACATTTGTACAAGAGTAACCCCATTCTCATGTTGAATTTTTTTTCTTAAGATTTATTTATTATGTATAGTGTTCTGTCTGCATGAATGCTGGCATTCCAGAAGAGGGCACCAGATCTCACTATAGATGGCTGTGAGTCACCATGTGGTTGCTGGGAATTGAACTCAGGATCTCTGGAAAAGAAGATAGTACTCTTAACTTCTGAGCCATCTCTCCAGTCCCTCTCATGTTGAATTTAATGAGCCTAGAAGTATTTTCTTTCTGTAATATATACATATTATATTATTATTGTCTGGTATTGTATTCATGG